GCAGCTGTGAGCATCAGGTTGGAGGTGAATACACCGCCCAGCCCTGAGTGCTCTCAGCTGGACGTCTGGTTTCTCGGTGTAGAGCATGGCTCTCAACCACGTTCTGCTCTGGTTCCTTTCTTCCCGGAGGTGCATGAGGAAGTGACGTAGTCGTGGATGACCCCTTTTACAGCCAGAAGCCGCTCGTCTCCTTCCTCCGTCCTCACTACCCTCGATGGCGGGGCGGCTAGGGGGTGCATAGACATTCCCCAGGAGGAGAGAGCGATTGCTGGTGCACCTGTGCCTGCAAAACGCCGCCACTTGGAGGAATAGTCCGTGTCTCCCGTCCAAAGCCTGTAAGCTGTCGGCGGCTCTCGCTGCCAAAGCTTACAGTGCTGCGGGCCAAGCTGCCTCTGCCCTGCATGCCATGGCGATCCTGCAATTTCACCAAGCCAAGGTTTTAACAAATGCACGAGGGTAGTACCGACCCGAGGTTGATGCAGGAGCTGCGCACGGTGACTGACTTCGCCCTCAGGGCGACGGAAGTCACGACGTGGTCCCTCAGGAAGGCGATGTCCACTCTGGTGTTCCAGGAGCGCCATCTCTGGCTCAGGCCTGTGCGGCGACACTGTCGAGGGCTGTGCCCAGCAGTTCTCGGCAGTACAACAGCAGACTGAGGCCATACAGCACATCTTGCCCCGACGTAATCTTCCAGCTGCCACCGTTTTCTCGCGGGCCATGTCTCAGCCTGCTCGTCGCCGTGGGCGCCCTTGGCTAGGGGGTACGTTGACATTCCCCAGGTGGAGAGAGCGGTTGCGGTGCATCTGTGCCCGCAAAACGCCGCCACTTGGAGGAATCGTCCGCGTCTCCCGACCAAAGCCTGTAAGCTGTCGGCGGCTCTCGCTGCCAAAGCTTACAGTGCTGCGGGCCAAGCTGCCTCTGCCCTGCATGCCATGGCGATCCTGCAATTTCACCAAGCCAAGGTTTTAACAAATGCACGAGGGTAGTACCGACCCGAGGTTGATGCAGGAGCTGCGCACGGTGACTGACTTCACCCTCCGGGCGACGGAAGTCACGACGTGGTCCCTCAGGAAGGCGATGTCCACTCTGGTGGTCCAAGAGCGCCATCTCTGGCTCAGGCCTGTGCGGCGACACTGTCGAGGGCTGTGCCCAGCAGTTCTCGGCAGTACAACAGCAGACTGAGGCCATACAGCACATCTTGCCCCGACGTAATCTTCCAGCTGCCACCGTTTTCTCGCGGGCCATGTCTCAGCCTGCTCGTCGCCGTGGGCGCCCTCTTGCGTCCTCCACACCGGCTCCGCTCCAAGCTGAGACATCATAGAGGCCATGTCTCAACTCGCCCGCCATCTCCTCCTCTGGAGTCAGACGCAGCTCAAATCGCTGCACGCCGTCCACATACCGGGGGAGCTCAATCATGCGGCCGACGCGCTCTCACGACAGCTCACTTTCCCCGGAGAAGGGCGACTTCATCCCCAGATGGTTCAGCTGATCTGGAGTCGATTCGGGGAAGCTCAGGTGGACCTGTTTGCTTCCCACGAGTCCTCCCACTGCCAGTTGTACTATTCCCTGACCCAGGCCCCCCTGGGCACGGACGCACTGGCACACAGCTGGCCTCGGGCTCTACGCAAGTATGCGTTTCCCCCAGTGAGCCTACTCGCACAGACACTGTGCAAGGTCAGGGAGGACGAGGAACAGGTCCTGTTGGTTGCGCCTTTCTGGCCCACCCGGACCTGGTTTTCAGAACTCATGCTCCTCATGACAGCCCCTCCCTGGCGCATCCCCCTGAGGAAGGACCTCCTTTTTCAGGGGCTGGGCACCATATGGCACCTCCACGTGTGGCTTCTGGACAGGATGCGGCAGACCTAAGTGATCTGCCATCAGCGGTGGTAGACACTATCACTCAGGCTAGAGCTCCTTCTACGAGCCTTTAATAACTGCAGAAGGAATTATAACTTGGTTAGATTATTGTTTGCATAAGGAAAACTCGGGAGGAACTTCTGATTTGATTTCTGTTAAGCTTATCTGTAATCTATATATTTCCCCAATAAAAAAAAGAAATTGTATAACATTTGAACTGATTCTGAACATTTTGGTCTACCACTGATAACAGCAGGCAGAAATTTTAAAGGTACATTACAGGTTCATTAGAAGTAATTCACTTCTATTGTTCAAGTAACCTCTATTTTAGCAAAGAAATCAGTCAAATAATTTGTAAGAATCAACATTATGCTACAAATGCTGCTGATTACGCTAAACATGTATTGAACACAGCATAAAGATCTACTTTATAAAGGCATTGATCTTACCTCTGTATTCTGACTTGTCACAGACAAGTTTAAGCTCTTGTTTTCAATCACTGAGTTGGAATCCAAATTCTGGCACTGATCTAAGACATAGAGATGAGACTTTTTTTTTTTTTTAGTTTAGGCTAAAAACAGGGATCAAACATAATGCTGCATTGGAGATTTACTGCAGTACCTCCACTAATCAAAGCAGGACCTTCAGTCAGACTAAGTCTGTCCACCTGCTCCTCCATTATGCCAACTGTCAATAAGAGCAAGAGCAAACAAATACATTTTTGTATTTAAAACGTTTGTTGTTTGCATGATTTCCCATTCGTTTGTGAATAATGTTAAAGGCGTAATTTCCGGATTTGTTTCAATAGCCAATATGCCTATATGCCTACTCCAATATGAGTCTTTATACTGACACCTGTATCTGTTTATACAGATAAAGTGAACCACACATCTTTTACATTCCAGCTATACAGCATGACATAAGTTACAGGACTGACTTCTGCTTTTATGAACTGTTCATTGTTTTACATGGAGTTTCTTATAAGATTACTTCCTGCAAAGCATGCAAAGTAAACTCACCGGGTGACAGTAATGTCAGTGCTGAGGGCTGTAGAACGAAAACAGAAAGAGACAAAGTTTTACAGCATGTAGTAAGGGCTATTTTATCACGGTGGAACACAAAAGACTGTCAAACTCAAACAAAAATACCATACAATAGTTCATATACATCCATATACACTACCGTTCAAAAGTTTGGGGTCAGTATGTTTTTTTTTCTTCCCAGCAAGGGCACATTATTGATCAAAAGCGACAGTAAAGACATTTATAATGTTTCATGAAAACTTCAAATACATGCTGTTCTTTTGAACTTTCTATTCATCAAAGAACCCTGGAAAAAAATTTATCGTGTTTTCCACAAAAAGAAACATTTCTTGAGTATCAAATCGGCGTATTAGAGTGATTTCTGAAGGATCATGTGACACTGAAGACTGGAGTAATGATGCTGAAAATTCAACTTTGATCACAGGAATAAATTACATTTTAAAATATATTAAAAGAGAATAACAGTTATTTTAAATTGCAATAATATTTCACAATATTACTGTTTTACTGTACTTTTGATCAAATAAATGTAACCTTGGTGAGCACATTAAGAAAATACAAAAAACTTTTGAACAGCAGTGTAGATATGAAAATCTGGAAATCTTCCCCTCCAGCATAATAATTTTTTATTCATCAAAGAACCCTGGAAAAAAATGTATCGTGTTTTCCACAAAAAGAAACATTTCTTGAGTATCAAATCGGCGTATTAGAATGATTTCTGAAGGATCATGTGACACTGAAGACTGGAGTAATGATGCTGAAAATTCAACTTTGATCACAGGAATAAATTACATTTTAAAATATATTAAAAGAGAATAACAGTTATTTTAAATTGCAATAATATTTCACAATATTACTGTTTTACTGTACTTTTGATCAAATAAATGTAACCTTGGTGAGCACATTAAGAAAATACAAAAAACTTTTGAACAGCAGTGTAGATATGAAAATCTGGAAATCTTCCCCTCCAGCATAATAATTTTTTTGTGTTCCAGAGAAGAAATATGACATGGGGATGAGTAAAACATCCACAAAAATATGTGCATTAATGCAAATTAAGGGAATGAAGTTATACTGAAGCAGGAGTAATCTTCCCGATCTCCTGAGCAATAACCATCCCACCTGCTGAAAAAAGAGGGAAAAAATGCAAATATATGTAGAAAAAATGCATTATTGCTTAATTCTTTAACACTTCACACATAAAATCAACTTATCTCCTTGCAGTCTTGATTTATGATAGTTTAGCTTATTTTAAATATAAGAGAGGCAAATTAACATTTCATCCAAAAACAGTCACTCACGCTCATAACGCTCCGTTTTGTATTGAATAATTCTTTTTTCTAAACTGGGATTGATATCTGCTATAATTTTCTGCAGAACGTCCAAATTATGTTCACCCAAAAGGTCTTCCTTCTCCATGTCCAAAAACAACTGCAACAACGTCTAAAACACATGATTGTTCATAGAAAGTTTAGTCAAACATCACAGTCTTGTCACATGCAGAGATGTGATGTCTCTCACCGTGTCCTTCTCCAGTTTTTTGCGCGATAGTGTTTTCAACAGTAGGAATTTGATGTTTTTCAGGTCCTGCTCACAGATGGACTCTGACAGCTCGTACAACAACTGTCTGAAATCCAGAAAGAAAGAAAAAATACTTATGAGTATTACAAAGGAACTATAAAAACTTAAGGTTCCTTGTAAACAGTCGCCCCACAAAGACACTATATCAAACCTCACTGCATTAATTACCTTGCACGTTTTTTGGATAGCAGATATTTTCCAGGTCAGCATTCTGGCCTTTGACCTGAACAAACACGTCTCTGTTAGTAACAGCTGCATCCTCACCTGTATGGGGATATTTGTTGACTGTAGGTTGTGCCGTTGGTTTGTTTATAATCATCTGAGGTCAGATTGCGTATCAGGCTGTTTCGTTTCATGATCCTGAGCAGCTCTAGAAGCAGAGACGGATCCTCACATGACAGCTGGTTCCTCTTCTCCAGAAGACTGAACAGCTGTCCGGCTGAGCTCACGGTGCTGAGGTCTTTCAGACTCAACAGATCAGAGCAGAGGAACACCAGGTCCTGCACCTCATCGCCAGTGAGAGACTCCTGCACTTTTAACAGCACCCGCTGAAACTCCAAGTCCATCTAGATAACACATGCATAACACTGCTGCAATAAAATTAACATTGATTTTACATACTATTTAATACATTTAAATTTACCACAGGCAAGCCCATAGTAAATAAAGTTAAAGACGAAGACTGCAGGCCCTTCTGTGAAGTGCAAACCATTTTTCAGCCTGCCATGCCATATCACAAGAGATACAACCAAAACAAAGTTATCTTTTTTGTTTTAAATTTACACTTACATGTAGAGAATATAAGTGAATTTGAATTTTTTAAATGTATATTTTAATATAGTAGGCTATATAATGCCGCATTTAGTTTTGGTTTATTATAGATTATTGACCTTTAGTAGTAAAATGTTTGGGCATCTCTGTTCTTGTCACAAACGAGACTCCCGCCGTGCCTCCCGCTCACCACCAGAGGGAGCTCTCTCCCGAGTTTTGAACTTCATCCGGACTACACACACATTCACACACACTCACATACCCGGCTCTGATTACCCCTGCACCTGACTCTCGTTAAGTGGACTATTTAATCAGCTCTCAGACTCGCCCTCATTGCGAAGTCTTGTATTGCCCCGGTGTACATTTCTGAGCGTTTCTTCCCGTGTCTGGCCTCTCTGTTTATTCCCGTACTCTTGCTATTGTTCTCTGATTACTGATTGTTTGCTGCCTGCCCCGACCCTTTTGCACGTCCCTGACTAACGATTTGGCTTCTCTCCTCTGTTGTGTTTGCTGGTGTCTGACCTTGTCTGTTTATTACGATTTCAATAAAGCTGCAGATGGATCTTCACTCTGACGTCTCGTTACAGTTCTGTATATTCTCTCACATGGTCCAAAAATTGTGGAGTTTGTTTGCTTGACCAATTTTAAATGTTCCTATTATTACCGTAAGGTAAAACTTTATTTTACTTGTTTTAACCACAATGGCCATTTTTGTGTCATGGCCCACAACATATTTAAAACTGGGCCTCAAACACATTGACATTGTGCACACATGTTTTATTGGGTCTTGGGTTTCATTATATGGCAGGTGGAGATTTGGGGAGTTTAACCATCTACGCGCTGCGGAGTATGCGCCTTTCATCTCCGGAATCAGCGCTTAATCAGCCGAGCATGGACACGACATTCTCTTCCACTCCCTTGATGAATCCTCGCCTGGCTCTTCCAAACAAATTCGACGGAGACCCCACGAAGTGTAAGGGATTTCTTTTGCAATGCTCCTTGTTTGTCAACCAACAGCCTGCGATGTACACCACTGATATCAGCCAGATCTCCTTTGTATGTTCACTCCTAACTGGGAAGGCTTTGGAGTGGGCCACGGCAGTATGGAGGGAGGATGGATCAGCTTTCCCCACATTTAGTACTTTTCTCCGACGCTTCCGAGAAATATTCGAACATCCTGAAGGAGGTAAAGATGCGGATAAAAAATCCTAATAAAATAAACCTGAAACAGCAAACTCAGCAGACACAACTTTGCCATAGAAACCAGCAGACACAGGGAAATGTGGCTGTTGCAGGAAGAAAGGTTTCCACTGTGAACACAGCAAGACAGTGTTGTAGTTGCACCAAACACACAGAGAAAAACAAAACTACCACAGAATTGAACATTTAATATAGGTTACAAAAACTGCCCTTCTTATTAGGTGAACACAAGAACTGCTGCAGTGTCAGTTTCCACCACATTTTACTGTCTCACTCTAATTTGTCATTTGTAGTATTTTAATTTTTCTTTTAGGTGTAACTTCTTCCTTATTTCTCTGTATATTGTTCTTGTAAAATTTCTGTTCTGTACATTTTCTATTTCTTTCTCATATTTCAATTTATGTACATTGTTTAGCAATGTTATTGTCGGGCTTTATCTGTATGCAGCTCATCTGTAAAGCCTTGGCAATTTGAATAAATATTTGACGTGTTATTCTCAGCTCAGACAGGTTTGGTCACACTTCAGCTTTTACTCGAAATCTGTCTTGTTACTGGAAAAGCTGTTATCTTCAGCTGAATTACTGTCATCCTACTAAAATCTAGTTAGGTAAGTGTCGCAATTTTTTGTTACTGTTCGGCAATGCTTTGATGTTAGTCACTCTAGTGACTCATAACTGTGCCAGACATATAGCTTGAACTTTTTGCGCACTTTGTATTTGTAAGTTTTAATTTTGGGTTATTCCAATCTATATAACTTCCTGGTCACGTGACCAAATTATATCACACCAGTTGTAATATCTTCACACAATCCTGACACACATCTTACTGGATCTTAGATCTTGCTGGATCTGTCTGCTGCTTTTGACATGGTTAACCACCAGATCCTCCTGTCTACCCTATTGGCAAAGGGCATCTCAGGAACCGCACTATATATGTGTGTGTATGTATAAAAATCAAATCAATTATATTTGAATGGTCATGTGAACTAATGGTCTAATGGTCACTTTGCCTGTAATATATCTGCAAAAATGCCAAACCATCAGCCTTGGATATGAATAATCAAAAAATAGATGTTGTACCATTAATGTATAGAGGAGCTTTCCCTTTATTGAAAGTTGTCCATGGCTTTTAGTATTTTAAAATCTCATGAAGATATACATGTTGAGCAACATTTCTCCTGATGTGGGCATGAATGTAAGGTCCTTAAACTTATGTTTCCTCACACAAACTTTTGAATTATTGAATGAATATTAATAGACAAATCAAATTTGAAAATGCCCTTACAGACAAGCTGGTTTAATGGTTGTAGGAATTAATGGTACAGTGGATTATGCACTAGTTTAGGACATTTGAGGCCTGTTGGCTCATGGAGACCCAGGTTCAAAGTCTTTTGGACTAACAGGAATTTCATGCTGATCTAAGAACTCAGAATAATTACAGATTGAACCATTTTGATTGAAAAGTTGAGACGCAAAAATAATTCCATTTTAAAACCAATTATCAAAGTTTTTTGTTTATACAGAAGATTCTTATTATTCCAGATTAGATAAGAGTGAGGTGTAAAATTGTGTTTAAAAATGAAGGACCAAGCTAATAACATTTGCCTACAAAAAGGGACAATTTGATAGAAATTTTCATAATGCTATAATTACACATTAATAAGTAGCTTAAACCACCTAGTTTGGAAAAAATAACATTAGACGAGGGCTTATTGACATCGTTCTTTATACAATTTATTTTAAAGGTATGATGTGTGTCAGGATTGTGTGAAGATATTACAACCGGTGTGACATCATCGGGTCACATGAGCAGGAAGTTATATAGATTTGAATATTTAAAAAATGTATTTACATAAATGTTATGTCTTATATGCTGCATGTATGTATAAATACATTGTAGGTGATTTGAGCTCTTTAGATAAAACAACCACAAAGTTAAATAGATTTATTAAGACATTCAGTTTACTTACATATTTATAAAAGATCATATAAAAGCTAAAAATGGTCTTTATCTATACTTAAAAGGTTAGTTAACCCAAAAATGAAAATTCTGTAATTAATTACTCACCCTCATGTCGTTCTAAACCCGTAAGACCTCCGTTCATCTTCGGAACACAAATTAAGATATTTTTGATGCATCCCGTGAGCTCTCTGACCCTCCCATAGACAGCAAGGGTCCTCACACGATCAAGGTCCAGAAAAGTAGCAAGGACATCGGTAAAATAATCCATGTGACATCAGGGGTTCAACCGTAATTTTACGAACCTTGCTACGTTGATTGTGTAAGGATCCTTGCTGTCTATGGGAGGATCAGAGAGCTCTTAGATTCCATCAAAAATATTTTAATTTGTGTTCCAAGATGAATGTAGGTCTTACGGGTTTGGAACAACATGAGGGTAATTAATGACAGAATTTTAATTTTTGGGTGAACTATCCCTTTAATCTATTTGCTAAACTACACATGTAAAAGGATCACGTTTTTAGTGTTTTATGGAATAATGCACATATTTAACCAAGTTTATTGTGTATTTTGCACTTTTGAGACACTTCCTAACTTGACGTGCACAAATTGTGAGGACTCTGATGCTTAAAACAATTATCATCCATATATTATTATGAATCCTGATATTGTGCTTTTAAATGAGATCCGAACGAGATACAGCATGAGCCATGACTATTATGCGATTACATATAAATCAATGCTGAAGAAAAGATCGAACGAATGTCCAAAATAAGCCCAACTTTACCGCACCCTGTCCAAACACACAGCTGGAGATGGGGAAAGAGAGTCGTACTTCGTTTTTTTTTTATCGGCATAGTCGATCTCGTTCACAAGAAATGGGAGAACGAAGGATTAAGTTAATAAATCACGGATTCATTAAAGATTGACGCCTATATTGTACCCTGTAGAAAAGGACCACTGAAGAAATCAATGAATCAGTTTTTTTTGGTTAAAGAGGAATAGGGGTGACAAAAATCCATACCAATAAACCAATGCATTACAAACTCATTCTTTAATTTTTGATCTGCTTTGATCACTGATTTATTTTTATTTTACAATCATTCCAATAAAAGAAAATTAAAACAACAACAAGCTTATTCTGCGAGTCTTGTGCTCTAGAAAACACTTTTTTTTTTCGTGAGCACAGTAACGTAGTCTTAGATCATGGTAGAGAAGTGATCTACAAGTCAAGGTCCATACAATCTTTTTCTTACCTCTCTGTAAGTTAACGTAAATCATCAGCAACCTTAGTTCTTCTCGATGTGAAGATCAGGGCTCGTTTCAAATGTTAATTTGAACATTGCGTTCTACTGTACATATCGAAACTATAGTTTGTGGACACGCCTCCTCTTCTACTACTTCCTTTATTTTAAGGCTCAGAGCAGGGTTGACTTGGTTTAGTTTTCGGTGTTCCACAGACATACATTTACAGCCAAACGGCGACAACTTCTAAACGGCGTATTACTTAAAGGCCTATACTATTATCGTGAACGTGGAAAACGAATAATATTCCACAACCTTTCTTTCATTCTTCTTCGTCTTCTTCTTTTGATTAATGGCGGATTGCAAACTTTTAGGTGCATCCCGCCACCTGCTGTACAATAGTGTGTACCATGTCATTTTAAAGGGGTCATATGATGCTGCTAAAAAGAACATTATTTTGTGTATTTGGTGTAATGAAATGTGTTTATGCGGTTTAAGGTTAAAAAAACACATTATTTTCCACATACTGTACATTATTGTTTCTCCTCTATGCCCCGCCTTTCTGAAACGCGTCGATTTTTACAAAACTAATCGGTCTGAAAAGCGAGGTGTGCTCTGATTAACCAACTATCCAGTGCGTTGTGATTGGCCGAAAAGCTCAAGCGTGTGACGGAAATGTTACACCCCTTACCATACTGTGATGCCGTCT